ACGGGGTGTCCGGTAAAGATTGTGCCAACGCTCGTGAGCGGATAGAGCACAGTAAACTGAACAGAAAAGTCCTGTAACATTTTTTTTTTTTTTATAACGCTTAATAAAGGAGTTATTATTGAGTAAAGTCTGGTCAATCAGCGCCAACTTTTAGCCGGACGCACGTCGGTGAGCCGTCCGCCTGGTAGTGTGCGCCGCCGTAGCGACGGAGTGCTCACGCACACTACCAGGCGCGCGGCTAAAGGTCGGCGCTGATTGACAGACTTTACTCAATAATGACTCCTTTATTAAGCGTTATAGAAAAAAATGTTACAGGACTTTTCTGTTCAGTTTACTGTGCTCTATCCGCTCACGAGCGTTGGCACAATCTTTACCGGACACCCTGTATATGAACGAGAAAAAAAAACAAATATTGACAACATATTATGTTTAAATGAGAAACTAATTGAATTACAATGCATCATATTATAATAAAAATGGGAAAAGGATTAAAGGATTAAACAGGAGGTATTTGAGTTTGTGAATATATTTAAAAAGATATGAATGTGTTGGGAAAAATTGATAAAGTTTTTAATTTCAACATACAAAATTAATATTATCTAGTAGTTTATTTTTGAGAAATCACGGAAACTGAAGGTGTAGACGAGATGTTATCTTGGTATTAGCAGAAGTCCAAAAAATTATGTTAATAAGTTTATTATGAACAAAAGAGAGTATTAATTTATTAAATTACATATACATATATCTCACAAAATAATAAAAATTTCCTCAAAAATGTATATATAAAATATTAGCAAAATATTTTGAAAATTTAGCAAAAAGTCTTTGTACTAAATTTTGTAATTTCAAATAGATTGTAAATCCTTCTCCCATTTTCATATATTTAACGACAAATGATCTTTATTAATTACAATATTAGATATATTTTACCATTATTTCTAATTATATATAGATTTGGTAAAAGGTAACTTGAAATAATATTATTCTTATTCATAACATGTAAAGAGAGAGAAATTTGTTCATGAATACAATCACAAAATGATAATTGTAAAAAATAAAGTAAGAGGCTCTGATATAAATATTTAATTAGGGAGCGAACTAATTAAGAGCCAAGCGCTGTAAGTGGTGCACAATATTTTCTATCTTGTCAGAATTTTTTATTTTATGTTTCAGTCCTAATTTCGGACCGAAACATATGAAGCGACATCCTTTCAGCAAAGGAATTTAAATTAGGTTGTGCATGCATTTGTCTATGACCCCAGTGACCCCAGCTGAAATTAGGACCGAAACGTACAAAATAAAAAATTTCGATAAGGTAAAAGACATTGCGAACCGCTTACAGCGCTCAGCTCTTAATTAAGCCACTCCTTTTTGTCATTGAATGATAATTGTAATTTTTTATATATAATATATTATATAGTGTTGTGTAATGAAGTGTCATATTATCTCAACCTTAATATGCGTATTATGCATAATAATTTAAAAAATTATTAGTTCGTCTATTATAACATAAAAAAATACAATTAGATATCATTTTTTGTTCTCCTAAAGTATTGTGAAATATGCATATAAAGCATAACAGGTTTACTCAAAAGCTATAAAAATATTAGTATAAAATGTAAACCTGATTACAAAGTGTGTTAAAAAGAGTCCACCGTACATCTCCAACTGCACCAAAAATATATTTAAAGAAAATTTTATAGAATCTTTTGATATTTTTACTTTTCGGTAGATGATATCACTTCGAATTTAATATTATGTTTATTCAATTGCTCGATCATAGAAGTTTTACCAAATGCAGCACCAGGTGTAAGTACTCCTCCGCTGTAAAGATATAATTGATAAGAATAAAATCAAAATTCAATGCATTAAATTATAATAGAATGGACAGTTATGTCATATTGATAACTGATAAGTAACTTACTTGTCAGGTATTTTATCAGCTTCCTTAAGAATTGTAATTGCCGATAAGATCAATGCAATGCTAGTTATTTCATATCCATTAATACCGCTAACTTTTGTAATTACTTTCTTATTAGGTGGATCTGTGTGCTTATCTGTAGGTTCAGCCGATTTTTCAGTCCATCCAAGGGCTTTAAATGTTATAGAAAAGCGCGCTTGTTCGTGCGTTTCCCGTTTCGGGCTTTCGTGGCTTACAAAACCGTATGAAAATAGAGCCGGATACTGCAAACATTACATTTGATTACTTTGTCTTGCTTTCACTTATAAAACGTAATTTTTTAAATATATTATACACATTATACTTGTATAACTACAAATACTTTCATACATACTTTCAGAAGTAAATTACGACCGAATGCTGTACGGGTCATGAGGGCGAAAATCATACCAGCAATAGCAATCATCATGAAAGAAAAGAGAGATCTAACAGTGAAAAGCATATATTAATACAAAAAATACTTTTCAATATTTGCGACATTTCTATTAATACAATACTAACTGAAATGTGATGTAAGTTTGCACTTGTACAGGTCTCTCTTTGTATTTATCGTACATGAATCGTTGTGTACGCAAAGCGACACTACGATCGGCACCCATAAATAGAGTTGACCATCCTTCAGAAACATCACTTCTATGTAGTATCCTGCAATAAAGAAAAATTGCAAATATTAAAATATATAAGAATTGCAAAAATTGAAATATTTAAAAATAACGAAATAATCGTGGTTTTCGTCTTTATTTTTACTTCAAATATCCTTATAAGAGATAATGTTGCTTATTATCATAATGAAACTTTTACTGCACTACTTATCTTCGTCTACATGATATGTTTCATTAACATGAAACATCATTAAAAAAAAACAAAAAAACACATACATACTCTTTTATAATAACATATATTCTTACATATAATTTTTAATCATGTGAAACATATATAAAATCGACTCATAAAATTATATATGATGAAATTATATATATGAAATATTTGAAAAACAAGATACATACTTTGATTTCAGTTTTGGTGTGAATTTGGGTAATTTAGTAGGATATAATTTTGTACGCAGTGCTCGTAATTCGTTCATATGAGCCATGCCATATACTGCAGACTCCCAAGTTCCATAATTCAGAAGAGAACCTTTCACATTTCCAGTTGTCCAAAGTTTTAGATATGTTTCAATAGTATTGATTTCTCCTCCAAATGTTTGCTGTGTAAAAATGATTCCTAAGTCGGCAGGAATACTATCAAAGCCACAAGCACTCACTATATAAATACCAGCTTCTTGCGCTGCTTTGTTATATTCCAATTGCATTTTTTCCATATACTGTAAAATATTGAAAATATCAACATATAACTGAATACTCATTATAATATTCGTTGTAAAGGTATGTATATTTTATCACCTGGGGTTCGCCACTGACATCAACATGATGAGTACGAGTAGCAATACAAGCTTTAATAATTGGTTCTCCATAAAATCTATATGGACCACAGCAATTAATAATTATTTTTGCTTGTTTCGTCATTTTTGTAAGAGATTCTTCATCCTTTATATCAGCCACGATAATAGGTATATCGTCTGAAAAGTAAATGTGCAATATATAATAATAATACCATTAATAATATGGAAAATGGTCTAGATGCTCTATCGCATCTTGAAATAAATAAATTAAAATCTTAAATTCTAAGTCTTAAATTAAAAACATAATAAATTTAATTTTACCAATATCTGAGGCAAATTCCTTAATGACAGCTTCCAAAGCTTCCTTCCTACGACCAGCAACACCAAACCTTAGCTTGTTCTCCTTGCAGAGATGTACTGCATCTTTCACTACATATTTTCCAGTATATCCAGTAGCACCAAATATTACTATATCCAAACGGTCGTCCGCCATTTTTTTAGTAATCTATAGCAAAACAATATTTATTATTAATTTGACAAGAGATTTTTTTATTTTTAGGCATATGAAAAATAAATATATCCGGCGCGAATATGATTAAACCGGAAAGATCGAACCCGAATCTTTCTAGGCGACCACACTATTACCAAGGCATTTAAATTCTATTCAATGATGTTCTTTCGCTTATCTACATATACATAATGACAATATGCCTACATATTAATGAGAAAATTTCACAGAAAAAATTTAGAAAAATTTAAGAAATAAGATTTAAGATTAATATTTATAGAAGAAATATCTAATATGTTTTAAAATTATATTATTAAGAGACACAAAAAAGGTGAGAAAAAAAAGAAAAAAAGAAATAGTTTAATATAATGTTAACATTGAAAAATTCTAGATTAATACTAAATACATTAAAAGTAAAGAAATAGAGATATTGTTAAAAATTATAATAAAATTTTTATAAACATTTTAAGATACTTATAAATGCAATATACTATAAATCCAACCTACGACCATATTTTATATAATTAATAATAACGTTATTGGCGATTTTATAAGTTCTAATTAATCACTATTTGAATTTTACTCGGATGATTATGCAGTTTTATAATTCAATTTGTACATTCATTCAACATCATTTATTTGTATAGCCGGCAATCCGGATTACGTCATACGTGACATATAAAAAAAAGGAGATAAATCTTAAAAATTATTGCGTACTCATTAAACTTATGTGCACGAAGTACAATACCTTGATTAGACCGAATTAACTGTGAATCTTCTTCCCCAAAAAAGTAAAGTTGCGTCGCACAAAGTAATAGCTGAATGCGTACGTGTCCTGCAACGCACATCGATAAACGTCGGCTATCGACTACCACTGATAGACACAAGTAAAAACTGGCATACTCATTGTATCAACGATATCATTGGCCAAACTACTGAAAGCGGTACACTGGAGAGGGACACGCCTATTTAGACATGTATATATGCATTTAATTACCGCTAGCTGCCGCTATTGCGAATACATATTAGTGTTGACTTTAACATAAATTTAAATTAAATTTAATATTTATATTAATGCATCATGCAAATTGTATAAATTGTAAAACTAATACAAAAATTATAGAATTCAAAATTATATCGAAGAAATAATCAATAAACTTTAGTTTTTTAAGGCTGTAAAAGACAAAATTATAATAAACAATATATTTAATGAATATTCACTTCGTTAATAAATATCGGAGATTATGCGATTAAAATTGATATAATATATCGTATCACTTCAATCATTTTTTTAAATCGGAAAACTTTGTGATATAAACTAAAGACAAAATCAATTACTGATTTATCTGTCACGCTTTCATCCTATAATTGGTTCACATTTTTAAATTATATAGCGATTTATAAAGTTTTAATTTTTTATCGCGTTGTAAATAATAATACTGGTTCTCTTGTACAAGAATACAAATGATGCTCATCATTATACCATGAAAAATTTTTCTGCAGATATATTTTCAGAAACGCTGAATAATCTACAATAGATAAAATACGTTGTTATAATCGCTTTACATGTATCTTAATATGCACGACTTTAAACTATTTCACTATATATATCATTTATATTTATTTTAATCTTTGAATATTTACAATGTATCTTTCTCCTTGCTTTGTAATCGACATCATCACCACTGTTTCTCATATAATCGGCCACTAATGTAATAAATTATGAATAGCTCATTATTTTATTGGAACATTATTTCGCAAATGAAAATCTATAGAATACCAAATCTCCATTACCATTCGATTAATAGCATTATCCTGTCTCTGAACGTGATTATTTAATTTAAGACATAAAATATGAGAATTAGCGTTCTTCTTTAATATGAATCAGTATAATCGCGAATATATTTTGCTTATTAAATACATGTCATTATTTACACAAATGCACACGAAAATTGCAGTTTGACGAGCATAAAATAATCTATAAAATAAATCATTTTATATATGCTAATAGACACAGTATTCAGCATATAATCTCGATAATCTTGAATTATACAGGATAACATACATTTTCAATTACGAAAAATCTACAATGTTATACACGCGCGCGCGCACATATACACATACACTTACATACACATACATTGTTCTTTTATTCTCATAAAAACTATAATTGCGATAAGAGCCCGACTTTTAACTGTTTGTTTTTTTATAAATATAAAACTTCAAAAGTTATACAGAAATTATCAGTTGTTCTTTATTAATTGGAGCAAATATGATTAATTAATCCTATAATTGTTTCTTTGAAATCTATCGAAACTTTTCGAGCTGAAAAATATTAATATTCTATACACAAAAGATTTCCGGTTATAGATAATATAAAACCTATTATATGTGTATACGATTTTTTTTTCTTTTTTTGACTAACGCAAGATTGAGTTATAAATGTCCTCATATCCTACTAAATAAAGAAAGCGTAATGTTATAATAAGTGATTCAATAGTTTGATACAAACAGAATATAATTATCGGTCTTATGCTAATATTTACAATATGTCACATTGGTTTTATAGCTTTATGTTAAAAGCTATTGTATTATAAAATAATGAACGTAAAAATAGTATTCTTGTCTATTTCTATTCTCTTTGAATCACAAATGTCAGAAGACTATGGAAAAAAAGTGTGGCCTGAATTGTATTTATTTTGATTTGCATGTAGATTAATTTCGATGAATATTAAATAATACAAATTGTCCCCCTGCTATCGATATTTGGTTATCAAGGAAAATAGATTGATATACATATATTGCCCGATTAAATTGAGCAATTTCATACAATTGTATTTCTTTGGAATACATATTCATTTAATACATATTCAATCTATTTTATAAAAAATTTATGAAGATGATTAATAAAACAATTTGTATAATTTCAGACATTGTGCGCTACACTATATCCATTTATATTTAATTGTTAACATCATATATATGCAAATAAAAAAATACAATTTAGACTGCACTTTTTTCCATAGTTTTCTGACATTTCTGACTGATTCAAGAATGGAAACATACAAGAATATTATTTTTGCGTTTATTATTTTATGATACACTAGTTTTTAACATATATCTACAAAATCAACGTGTGTGACATATATTATAAATATTAACATAAGACCGATAATTATATTCCACTTGTATCAAACTATTGAATCATACTTAAAGTGGCATTATACTTTCTTTATTTAGTAAGATATGAGAAGATTTACATCTCAATCTTGCGTTAGTCAAAAAAAGAAATGAAAATCGTGTGCACTAAATATAATTTAATAGTTTGAATATGAACGGAATATAACCAACAGTATTACGTTAATATTTTCATTATGTCTCATTGGTTTCATAGATTTAGGTTGAAAAACTGTTGTATCATAAAATAACGAATGCAAAAATAATATTCTTGTCTATTTCTATTGTTCTTCTTAAATCATAAATGTCACAAGACTATGGAAAAAAAGTGCGACCTGAATTGTATTTCTGTTTTGATTTATATATAGATTAATTTCGGTGAATACTAAATAAATGTACGAATAGTCCCCCTGCTGCCGATATTTCGTTATCATGCAAAATAGATTGACATATATTGCTTCATCGAATCGAACAGTTTCGTACAATTGTATTTTTTTGGAATACATATTCATTTAATACATATTCAATCTTTTTTTTAGAAAATTTATGATGGTGATTAATAAAACAATTTGTACAATTTCATAGATATTGTGTGTGTGCGTTACACCATGTCCATTTATATTTGTTAACAGTTAAATGTTTGATAATATCAGAATAGAATCAGAATTCATAATGATGACGATAGGTGAAATGATTTATTATGGGATTTGAATCCTCGCGATCATGTGCGCGAGCTATATATACCTAAACTGAATTTTACGTACATATTTATGTACATAATTAAAATATCGAAAATGCAAAATATATGCGCAGAGCGCGGAAGCAGTTTATTTATTATACATAACAAAAAATACTCCGGCAGAAATACGATCCAATTGACGCCATCAATGCTTCGGAGCGTTTAGAATACGTTCCGTTTAGTATTCTAGAATATTCTATAGCAACCAATGCGCTACAGCATCAAGATTTTCAATATATATACATATATATGGTTCATGTCATAGAAACACCGTGCACACACCGCGCGTTTATCACCATTTCTTACACGTAGAGACGCATATAACCAGCTTTCATTCAAAATCATACATAAAACGGTACCGCTACTGTGTCACAACCGAAGAGAAAAGAAGCACTAGGAGTTGGCATTTGGTGGTGGTGGCCTTCTATCGTAATCTCGCCTATAATCCTTGTTCGACCGCCAATCACCGGAATAACTATCTCCTAGATACCCGCGACCTCTAAAATGACCCGGTGCGATATCCGTTGGAGGATAACCACCGCTGCCGCTGCTACCACCATAACTACCCGGATTGTATCCATAATTCGGCGGTCCCGAGGAATATCGGTAATAATCACTGAAAAGCCATATGTTTAATTTAACGCGAAATAGATTACGAATTAGATTTGTAAATAAAATTGAATAAAGATTGTTATTACTCACCTCCTCTTCTCATTCATGTGCATACCACGATCTCGATCCCTGTCCCTGTCTCTGTGATAACCGCCGGACATTCGGCCATACATATCGAAGCGGTCGCGTTTGTGATCTCCGAATCTGTTGGAAAACAAAATTACAACACAGTTAAGCAATTAATATAAATAGTGATTTCTATTCAACGCCACAACCTTGATGCTCTATCTTTGTATTAAAGACAAATTAAATGAAGCAAGTTAAACTAAATGTGGAGATGTAAATTCACATACATATACTTATGTCTTTTGATATCACGAGATATATATCTATGTATGTAAAATAAAATACGATCTTACCCGTACCTGCCGTCTCTCATGTCTCTTCCATCTCTGGATAACCAATGATCGTCCTCCCTGCTGCCACTATAATGCCCCATATTGTATCCTCCACTATCTCTCCTGATTCTGTCGTCCTTTCCTCCGCTTATCCTATCCATACCCCTGTCATTGTGTCCTCTGTCTCTATCTCTGTCACGCTCCCTATCCCTTTTCATATCTTTATGCTTCGACTCTTTTTGCTCTTTATGTCGTGATGTTTCTGCACTGTTAGTGGTACTTGATGTGGAATTTGGTGTTGATGTTATAGGAGTAATCGTAATAGCACCAATAGTAACTGTGGATGTGCTGGTGATACTGCTACTGACAGCAGAAATATTCTGTTTCTTACTTTGTATACTGCTATTTGAGTTCTCCTCGGTATCATCAATTTTACGTTTCGTTATTCTGCTGTCCTTGTTAGCGCTACCGCTGTCTGCCTGTTGTTTATCGTGAGACGACCTTTCATTATGTTTCTGATAAGCGAAACAAAAATTACAATTTAAATTTGTTATCTATATTTTTCTATAAGAAAAACTAAAAAAATTTGATGCAGCACTACCTTCGTAGTATTGGAGACATCCTCTTTTTTATCAGGACTCGAGGTAGTACCGCCATTGCTATCGCCACCTTGCTTCACCAAGTTCTTATACATTCTATAAAGCTTCTTCGCTTTAAAGTTTGTGAACTTTGAAGCAAAATACCAAAGATTACTTTTCCACTCGCTGATTTGTTCAGGGTTTCTATACTCCGTAAGACATGTATTGATATGGTTTCCAATTTGATAGAGGCATCGACGCGCACGAGCAACTCGCTCCTCCTCGCTTAGAGACATATCTGGCGTATCTAGAGCCTTTAATGCTTTCTTCACCGGCCTCATCTTTTCTTTACACTATATGAGAAAATAAAATACGATACTATTATTCCATATAATACATAATACAATTTTCTGTTTTAATTATTTTTCACATGTATTTTATGTCGGTATATACAGACTAGAAGAAAAGTACATAAGTCTGTTAAAAAAATGATATTAACCTCATCAAATATCGGAGGATCCAATTCGCCAATTACATCAACAGCCCTCGGTTCGTTATTCGCAGTAAAATGCATAGGACCTGCAGCTTGTTTATTTTTCTTCGCTTTTTTGTTCTCTTTCTTCTCCTTTTTAATTTTCTTATCCTTTTTCTTGTCGTCAGATAAATCATCAATTTCATCCTTGACCTCTTTCTTTGCAACAATATCTTCTTCTTTCTTAACTCCAGACTGTGGGAAAGTGGTGGGATAGTGAAACATACAGATGGATTATGTAAACTCACAAAATATAAAAAATTAATTTCTCTTTTTGAAAACTTACTTTATCATTTTTGGATTTTGATTTCTTAGTTTCATCACCAGAAGTATCATTATCTTCTACAATTTCTTTAGTGATTGCTGTTTTCATCTCCTTGGGCTTCCTTGGTTTTCTCATTCGTGTCTGAAATAATTGTTTAACTTACATGCGAACGAAAAAAAAAAACAGAATATATTTGAACATATAATTAATAAATAAAATAAATAAAAGTTAAAAAATAGTAAAAAGATAAAAAAGCTTAATTTGTTAAAGTTAAGTGCTTGACAGCTCATATTCTAGCCTGAAGATTCTCATTTAAATATCCTCGTTTAAATATATGTTAATATTTCATAGTTCACACTTTGTATTTTTCAATTATTTAACAAGATATGGGAAGGAATAAATGGATGGAGAAGAGTCTGGGTATTACCTCGTATTCGGTTTCTAATTGTAGGAGAAAGATATAATCCTGTTGAAAAATGAAAGGACAAATAAAAATATACTCGTAATATGCCGTATGCAAAATGACCTTACCACTCCTAACTTAAGATCAATTTGTTTCTTCAAAATCTTCAGAAGATATTCCGCACGTGCGTTCACACGTTTAAGTTGCACTTTACTGCCATTAGGAAAAATCTTATCCCCCAGTTCCAAACTAGCGTCCATTTTTATCGCTTCCCACGAACCCATACCGTGTTGATATATACCCCTTAATAATCTTGAATCATCCTCGGAAGTCCATTCGCAATCAAAGTTTGCTGGTTTCGATCTAAAGCGACAAAAATTTCTTAAAAGTTATTCCGTACTTGATATTTTTACTTATTTAGATCAGTATTTTTTAAATCAAACTCGATACAAAAAAGATAAATATAACTGATATAAATTATAAACTCACTTAATGTCGAGATGCCAATTGGCGCGTTGCTCAGGATCGGATGGCAAAGCTTGTTCCAAAGGTTCGAGTTCTTTAACCGCGGCCGAGAATGACTTCGCGTTCACCATAACACCGCCTATCTTGAAAGTAGGTCCCCGTCCTCTCTTACGGCCGGGCCCCTTGCCTTCTTCTTCGCCAGTTTTATTTTCCTTCGCCGTGTTCTCGAACTCTATTAAGCACATGTCGCATCTAGATTTCAATTGTTCGCCCAAGAAGCGCAATTCCGACATTGGTTTCTCTTGTAAATCAGCATCAGTCGCGATATCATCCAATCGCTTCAAAGGTGCCGGAAACTTCTTATAACTTTTGACGAATCTTCGTATCTGCGATGGAGAATTATTATATTAAAGAGAAACGAGAAATCGAGAAATCGACCAATCTGACATAAAATGAAACTTGCTACAAACCTCAACATCCGTGAAACTCTTAATGTACTCGCGCGGCAAAACTCTCGGTCTACCTCTTTTCTTGGGTCTTTCATCATCACTACCTTCTGCCTCGCTACCCGACTCCTCGCCCTCTTCGCTATCATCCTGTACTTTTTTGCGTTTTCTGCCTCTTCCTAAATATAGCATTCGTTTTTGTTTATATATATTTCACATTTACAAGGAAGAAATTGCAAGTGTTTGTAAAAGTACATACCTTCGCCCTGATTGATTTGTTGAAGTGTTTTTCGACTTCTCGGTGGCAAATAAAGATCCTCCATTTCCTTCGACTTCTCCTCTTCTTCTACTTTTTTTCGAAAGTTTTCCGGAATGATTTCAGCCTAAAAAGAATAAGACAATATTAAGTAAACAATCTTTTTTTTTTCTTAACAAAAATTTGTAATTGCAATATGAACAGTTTATTTATTCAGATATTTAAGATTCAAAAAGAACAAAAAAAAAAAAAAAAAAAAAAAAAAAAAAAAAAAAAAAAAATTAAGAACCGCAGCCGCCGGCACAGTGATGCTTACCCAGTCTTTACTTTCATCATCGTTATCATTCGGCTGATTAATAGGTTCCAAATCCTCCTCAAAAGTAGGTTTAAAACTGGCAACTTTAAAAGCGGATAACAATTCATCGCCAACCGTCGTTGGAGCTTCGTCTCTTGTTTCGGCTCTTCTTAGTATTTCATCGATATCGCACTAATTTTACAGAAATTCATAAATATTTATATTCGAGTTTCTTTAAGATTTTCTCTTAATCTCCACTCTTATGCTAATACAAAATAAAAATGTTGTTATATGTTCTATCTTTTATTTGCTTTCTCATTTTAATATAATTGTGTAATATAAATATGAGTGGTGGGAAAGTAAACCAAGAAAAGAATTCTACTTAGGATAAATTAGCCAATTTGAAATAGAGGAAATCCTAGAAGCTTTTAGAAACAAACTGTATTACAACAAATTACTAAGAAATAAAGTCGTTTGTGCAAAGCACTCCGTGTATATATCTTAAACCGATTTTAAATATATATTAAATGAGTATGTATAAATGTATTCAAAGTTGCACAAATATTATTATATAATATTATAAATATTAATACAATATATCGTGTTGTTTCGAATTAAATAGCTCTACACAACAGACAAAACTATAAAAGACGACAATAAACTCACAGATGGTTCCTCATCTCCGTCTTCTTCATCTTTAAACAGATCCTCCGCGCCGAATTTCAAAATAGCAGTTAAATCTTCTTTGGTAAATGGATTGTTATTGGTCCCTGCGTTCTTCTTATCCAATACTGTCCGTCCGGTTGTATCCATTCGCTGTATCACTAAATGGTCCAAGACCATTTTCTGCTTCGCACGTTCCACAATTTCTTCCTCGACCGATTTTTTGGTAACCAGTCGATAAATATTGACCTATATGCAATGTAAATTAGGTTATAAGATTGAAGTTTCTCGGAAATTTGCATACAAGTGAGCATCGAATTTCAAGACAATCGCGAACGTACCTTATTCTTTTGTCCTATTCGATGTGCTCTAGCCTGGGCCTGCAAATCGTTTTGCGGATTCCAATCGGAATCGAAAATTATCACAGTATCCGCGGTGGCAAGATTAATACCGAGACCGCCAGCTCGCGTCGACAACAGGAAACAAAAATCTTGCGATCCTTCAGCATTAAAGTGATCTAATGCCTGTTTTCTCAGTTCCCCTTTTATACTGCCGTCTAATCTTTGGAATGGGAAATGCCTCTTTTGCAGATATTCACTGAGAATGTCTAACATCTTGACCATTTGGCTGAAGATTAATACTCTGTGTCCCGTATCACGCAATCTCACTAATAATTTATCTAAAAGTACTAGTTTCCCAGAACCACGGATAAGTGTTTGCAAATAATCCTCATTGCTGCTTTTCTCCCTTTCGGCTTCGATCGGTTTTGTAAGGAAAGCATGATTGCAACATTTTTTTAATTCAATCACGATATTCAAAAATGTCGAACTGGATCCTTTCATGCCTTTTCTTAATGCTTCGTAATTTTTAGTCAATATCCATTTATAATATTGTCTCTGCAGAGACGTCATCTCTACCCGTAAAATTTGTTCAACTTTAGCAGGCAGAGATTTTTCAACATCCTTCTTAACTCGACGCAGAATAAATGGCTCCAATTGTTTGTGTAGTTTGGAGTATCCTTTTTGCGCAGCATTGTCATGTTGTTTCTCAAATTCTTCCCATGTGACAAATCTGTATTAAAATGATGCAGTAAACGTAAATATAATAATTAAATAAAAAATAGAAAATCTATATATACTAGATGGCTATGTAGAGAAATTCAAATAAATAGGAACTAACTTGGTAGGCATAATGAAGTGTAATAGAGCCCATAACTCTTTCAAGCTATTCTGTAACGGAGTACCAGTGATCAACAAACGATGATTGGTGTGAAACTCGCTAAGTGCTTTGTATAGAAGAGAATCGTCGTTTTTCAATCGATGAGCTTCATCCACTAGCAGCACTGCCCAATTTAAGGCACCCAACAGTGCTTTGTCTTTAAGTACTATCTCGTACGTCGTAAGTATGACATTGAATTTTAGTCTCTTCGATCCTCGATAGCACCATTCATATTCTCTAATCTGAAAAGAATTTATACAATTTATTTAGAATTTTAACATATCAAGTATATATGTATGTATACAGGGTGTTTCCTAAGTAAGTACACAAATTTGAAGGGGATATTCCTTGGCTTATTTTAAGAAGAAAAGGTCCTATAAACATGTGTCCTAAACTGCTTAATTTTCATGTATGTAATGATATATAATAAATGTATAATGTAATAAAAAAAAATAAAATAAAATAAAATAAAAAAAAACGTAATAATATGTAATAAAAAGTATGTAATGATACCACATTAATACCACGCCTACCAACTTTGAATAAAATATCTTTAAACGTTTTCCATATTTTCGAAATTTTCATTTTCTTTGCACAACTTTGACACCCTGTATTTTGAAAACGAAGCAGTTTAGGACACTTTTCTTCTTAGAATAAGTCAAGGAATATCCCCTTCAAGTTTGTGTACTTAGTTAGGAAACACCATAGATATAGTATATCTAGACCGAGTGTTTGCCTTTATTTAAGGAGTGGGGGTAAAGATGCACGTAGAAAAGGACATACTCTGTTTCGTGCCCCTTGCGTTCTCTCTCGCTCGCACATAGCATAGCGCTCTCTTTCGTCATGCTACGTGCGAGCGAGAGAGAACGCAAGAAGCACGAAACAGAGTATGTCCTTTTCTACGTGCACCTTGGCCCCCACTTCTCAACACTCGGTCTAGATATACTATGTCTATGGGAAACACCCTATATATTGCAAAATAATAAGGAATAACACGTACAACATTACGCGAATTGACATCACCCAAATAAACGACGAAATTCAAATCAGGTGCCCATTGAGTCATCTCTCTTTGCCAGGAAGTCATCGTTGACAGAGGAACTACTAGTAAAAATGGCCCGTGAAGTTGTTGAGTGTGAAAAAGATAATAAAGGAAGCATATTGTTTGGATTGTTTTGCCGAGACCCATCTCATCGGCTAATATAACACTGCAAAAAAATATAATGATTAATCAAAATAAATTGAATATAAATGTAATAATTTCAAATACATTGTTATTATTTATTACAGAAATACTTGTGTACCTGTTTTCCTTGCACCAGGAGTGAATCATCCAGTTAACTCCATCCATTTGATAATCCCTTAATACCAAATCTTTTTCCTTGCCCATATAAGATGGCTGTTCGTTCAATTGATAAAATTTAGGTCTAGATTTAAGAACTTTACAATGTTTGCTTGGTGTTCTTTTGGAATCCTCCCTGTCGCGAAATTCCTTTATCTTCTCTGGCCATTTTTTCACTATCAAAGCTCCATCTTCCCATGTAGCGTCAGCATATGGTAGATTGTCCCATTTACAGAAATAATCAGGATGTTCCGAATCTGGTTTCTTATATTCAGCTAACAAAAAACCATATATGATAATTTATATTTAATATATTATTTAAGATATTCTTTCGAAATACAAATATCTATGTAAGTCAAAATGTTATACCAATAATCCTCTCGACATTATTGTAACTTTTCAGAAGATCATGCTTGAGTTCCAATTGACATTCAAAGTATTCCAATTCCTCTGGTTCCGCGTATTCTCTCATCTGTTCCATTCTGCGTTCACGTTTAATAAAATTGTCTAATTTTTTCAAGCCTTTTACCTAATAAGATTAATAAAAATCTTAATATTAAGAATGATTCTTAAAGTCATAAAAACTTAATAAAGACTAGAAAATATATTAATAATGACCTTTTGTGCTTTTAAGGATTCCTCCGATTCCCACGTATTGTGTATGTGAGACCAGCCTTTCCATTTTATCCAATATTGTACTTCAGTTTCTACATTACTTAGATCCTCTGGATTGGGATCGCCATTTTCTTCGACAGCATAGATTGTCGTCACGTTGCCAGTAACTGCAAATAATTATGTAATATATATATACTTACAATTTTTTAACTAATATCTTGATTAATATCTAAACGCCGTGTCATATATAAAAAACAAACCAACCTCCTTTCTTGCCCACTCTCTGTCCCAAAATTTGTTCAATAGTTTCCGCATTATCAGGTTCGGCTGATGCAGCATTCGATTCATCAACTTCAACCAAATCTTCACTATCAGTACCTTCTTCACTTTCTTCTTTATAACTAACTGCTGTACCAGTCCGTCTAGTGACTTGCCTGATAATTAAGTTTATTATCAAAATTTGTTATATATATTTTTATATACACCTTTTTTTATTTAATTTTTCACATGTACCTTCTATTGTCATCACTATCAAAGGAAGAATTTTCAGAAGATTCAGAGATCCGCTTTTTTCGTACCCTGGCTTTCTCTTTCGCTTTTTGCGCCGCGCGTCTGTTCAGGGACTTGCTAGGAGGCGGCCTCCGATTTTCAATTTCGTCAGATTCGGAATCTGAACTTTCTGAATTCCAGGAATTGTGTGAACTAAAAAGTAGAGTAAATCACACATATGTATAACTGTGCAAATGTTACAACTGATATATTTGTGATTGTAATTGCCACAAATTCATTAAATATATATA